AAAGAAAGGAGGAGCTACTACCCTTTGCAACAGCATGGATGGAACTGGAAAGCATTATGCTGAGTGAAATAAGCCAGGTGGTGAAAGACAAATACCATATGATTTCACCTTTAACAGAAATCTAAACAACAAAACAAACAAGCAAGCAAAATATAACCAAAGACACTGAAATACAGAACAGGCTGACAGGGACCAGAGGGGAGAGGGGAGAGAATTTCAGGGGAAAAGGGGAAGTATTTACAGGAACCAGTATAAAGGACACATGGACAACAACTAAGGGAGGTGGAAATGGGAGGGAGGCGGGGAGCACTGGGGGGGGGGGTCACGGGCTGGCATGGGAGTAAAAGACAGAAAACTGTACTTGAACAATAATTTAAAAAATAAAATAAAATTTGATTTTATCTTATCTTTATTTTTAAATTTAATCTTTATTATATTTTTCCATTACCATTTAGTTTCTTTATAACTCCTCCCCCAAGCAATCACCACACTATTTTCCATGTCCATGAGTCCTTCTTCCTTTTTGCTCAATCCCTCCACCCCTATGCTCCCCCCATTAGCTGTCATCTGCTCTCCACCTATGAGTCTGTCTCTGTTGTGCATGCAAATAAAAATTTTTAAAGAAATTATGAAATAATTAACATTGAATAACTTCCTGATAATTAACTCAGCAAGCATAATTCAAACACCTAGTGGAGTCTTAAGTGTCTCAAAGACCTTAAGCATAATTAGGTCTTCAAAATTTTATTGCTTTAAATTAAATACCACATAACACTGTAAATTATGTTAAATAATAAATTTAAGTTAAACTGCATTTAAGTGTATAGTCTAAAAGCACATTAACCCAAAAATCTTTGTTTAAAAATATACCTTATATGAATAATAGCACTTTATTGGGTATTAAGGTATAATTTAATATTTTATTATAATTTTGAATTCTGATTCAGTGTGGGTAATTAAAATATTGTGGTCTTATCTTAATTTCATCCTCATTAAGTTCCATAGCTGCAACCACAGATCTAAAACACATATTTGAAGAGTCAGAATTTTCCAAACCACAGATTCCCCAAGAGAAAAATGTGGTTTGACCCTCTGCTTTCACAGAAATGGAAAGTGAAGCTCAGGCAGCTTTAACAAGTCAAGCAGAGTCCCCATCATCCAATGGCTGGGAACTGAGCCCAGGACTTCTGACCCCCGATCTCCCTGCTCTGGAGATGGGCACAGGGTGAGGACAGCATGTGTGCCCCACACAAACACTGGCTGGTGCACCTGCCCCGTGGTTTGCCAACCTCTGCTGTGGACGGCTGTGTTCATAGAGCACGCTGGCAACAGGAGAAATGATCACTTTCTACTTTCTACTTCAGTCCTTATCACAAAACAGGCTAGAATCCATTCTAGCCATTTAATACATTAGTTATAAATAAGGTTTCTGTATTTTTTCTAGTCTATTATTAACTTCTCACATTAAAACATGGTGTACTTGTTATGATAATAAACCAATATTGGTACATTGTTATTAATTAAAGTCCATATTTAATTCACATTTCCTTAAATTTTACCTAATGTCATTTTCTGTTTGATTCAGGATGCCATTTAGGGTACCATACTGCATGGAGCTCTCTTTTCACTAGTTCAGCATTGTGTGTGTGTGTGTATGTGTGTGTGAGAGAGAGAGAGAGAGAGAGAGAGAGAGAGAATACAAACATCTCTCTTCAGTCAATTAAGGTCAAACTCCTACAAATTACTGTTCTCATATTCTCTAATGTAAAAGAAAAGGGTATATGTTAATGAAGCAATCTAGAGTTTTAATTATGAGGAAAACACTGTGGAGCAGAGGAAGGTTAGGTTTAAAAAACACTGACATTTGGAGGGACCTAGGATCAGTCTCTGATTTGTGGATTAATAAAATCTGACAAGCAAAGAGTGGGGTAGAGGCGTGTGAGAATTGAGAGTAATCAGAGGCAGCACACAGAGAACTACAGCAATCCAGAAGAAAGAAGTAATATTGTGCAATTTGTCATTATGTACATAGAGGAGTCAGCATTTCAAAAATCTATAGAAATGCAGTTAGAATTTCCTTGCCAATATTTTTATAAAACATTTTCCAAACGAGACCAATTCATCTTATTCTGAAATGAATTGTTAGATCACAACAGAGAATGTTAAAGAAATTGCATCCCTTATAGACATGCCAAATGGTAGACTCTGCCTGACTCAGAGTCTATAAATAGGGAAATTAAAATGCTAAAAATGTCCTCCAAGTTGCCAAACATAGTTCTTCAGCATCTACTTCCTAGTCCAAATGATTCAGTCTTCCCAAGTTTGAGAGTGAAAGCTACAACTCACAAAGCAATGCTGTTGTGCACATCAACTGATTAAATGGAAAAAAATATTCCACTTATGTATATTTCTTTGTTCTTAGACCATATCCATTGAAATGCTTCCTTATACTTTCATTAAAGTTTTATGAAAGGTGGGCTGGATGGAAGTGAAGGATACCAAAGGTAGCCTGTTGATTTTTCCTTGACATGTGATTGCCTGCTATGACATTAGGTTCTCTTGGCTCTCCTTTTCTTAAGATAGCTCTACTCATGGGATGGTGGTAGACATTGTTCCCTACCTGTCAAGGAAATTACATTCTATATGTAGCTTTGGCGAGTCACAAGAAAATTGTGAGAAACTTGCAATAAGCAAATTAATTTTGTTTAACCCATGTCTCCCAAACATATCTGACCATAAATAAAACCTTTTTCCTTTTTTAGGGGCATGGTGGGGAGCTGCCCCCATGAACACCCCCTGAGCACTCTGTGGGAAGTGCTGGGTAAGAGTGGCCTCTGCTAATGTTGGCAAGTTGGGCAACACCACTGTCCTCAGGACCATCATAGGGCAAGAGGTACGGGACCCACCCAGTGAAAAAGGTGTTGAGGTCAGCAAGCACCCCTGGCCTTCCTGCAGTGCTACTGGGGTGACCCAATGCAGGCATGCTGCCCAGCACAGCTCACCGCACAGCCATGGGGTACAGTGCCTGGGACCCTGTGTTCCCCGCCCAGTAGTAATCTGCACCCACTCTGAGTTCTAGAATGGCAGAAACTAGAAAGTCTGCTTCTGTCGACAAACTGACAATGTAACATAACGTGTGTGCCTGTGTGGGGATGGTAGGGTGTTTCCATGCCCCAGGGGACGTGGCAGTCAGGCAAACTCTGTCTGGCACGATGCAGGAGATCCCTGTGGCTGGGCACACAAAACACTCACCCTGGACTCTGGCACAGAAGTTCCAGTGCCAGTGCTGTCTGCCCTAACCCCCTGGGGGACACTGCACAACTCGCCCTCTCAGACCTTGTTTCCTCTTCAGAAAAAAAATAATAGTAGTAGTAGGGTAAATGATTTAATATTTGCAAAGTACTTTGGCCTGTGTTTGCCTCAAAGTAAGTACAATATAAGCTTCTGTTTAATGAAATTGTGTTACTAGTGTTTGCTCCGGTTTCTCTCTATTACTACACGCTTCCTTTACTAAAAAACAGAAAAGAAGATGTGACACGGGGGAGACAGACCCTCTCACTCCCTACTTTCAGACGCCAGGCCTGACAGAGTCACAAGGATACAAAGGCACTCTGCTTTAAGAGGTGCAGAGTGACTCAGCTGCCTGGAGCTCCCAATGCTTCCTGACGGGCTATGGTCATGGCTATGGGGCTCCAGCTTGTCACTCACACATGCTAATGATCAGGCCTTGTGGACAGTGGTTACTGTGGATTCCAGCAACACAGGAACAGAAGGGAGGACAGGGGCAGGGCTTCCAGAGTCACGAATGGGCTAGCCGCCCCTCTGCAAACTGCTCCTGGGGCCGCCAAGGAGCCCTTCGCGGGAGAGGCAAACACTGACCTTACCTCCAGCTCACCCCTCTCCTAGCCCTTAACGTGGTTGTTAAAAATAATAAAATAAGCTCTGGCTGGTGTAGCTCAGTGGACTGAGTGCGGGCCTGCAAACCAAAGAATCGCGGTTCGATTCCCAGTCAGGGCATGTGCCTGGGTTGCAGGCCAGTTCCCAGCAGGGGACTCACAAAAGGCAACCTTACATTAATATTTCTCTCCTTCTCTCCTTCCCTTCCTCTCTAAACATAAATAAATAAAATATTTTTTTAAAAAAAAGAAAGGGAAAGAGCTCTGTAATACCTTGGTAATTTTTCTTTTTTGTGTGTGTTTGTGTTTACTTGAAAATATCATCATATAAATATATTTTATACATTTTTAAAAGGTTACACAAATACATCTTTAAAAAGGTTGTCAAATTCATTGTAAAAGACTTAGAAAAGGAGAAATAATGCAGCAGACATGTGCATGGACATCACCGAGATGCACTAACAGATCTGCTTTAGGCAGGTAAGACTAATCCTTCCACAGGTCACACAAAACACTGAGACGGGTGTGCAATAATCTCTGACCTACTGTACATTGACATCATCACAACTGTAATTTTATAAACATCATAATTTATGTGAATAAATCTTGTAAAAATATGCAGGGAGTTCTTGTGAATACAGGCCAAGATTGAGGAAAATGACAAATCTCTGAGCATAAAAATGAGAGGCCCTTGAACTTGGCTGGGCATGGCCACAGCACACCTGCTCTGGGGCAGTTCTGGCCTCCAGCTCACATGCTCTGTCTGTGAACGCAGCAACCTGCAGCCTGGCAACAGCTGCTTCTGCTCCTCTAAGGAACATACATGCATGCACACATGCATAGGAAGTCCCCAGCCAACTGCAGCCATCAGGGATGATGACACCTTTCAGTTCCTGTGCCAGGGAAGGCAGGCAGCAGGGAAAAGGCAGAACCCTAAGCAACAGAAACATGGGTTTCAGCCTTGGTTTCCACTTCTGCTGGTGCAGTTTCTAAGGCTGGTTTGCATAGGGCTTCGAACCTTGGGTTGTACACTTGCTGCCTTTCAAGTGCTAAGCACCTTGGGCATGGCACCTCCCACACTGTCCCTAGCAGTGTAGGGCTCACCTGAAGGTACCTCCTGTCACAGGTCATTTCTTCTGTTGCACGCAGCCCATACTTGCCTCTGTGAATCACCAAATGACAGGCATTGGGTATTTTTCATTTACACCAAAGTGAATGTGATGGCACAGATAGTGATTGCAAAGCCCATCTGGTGAGTTTATAAAGTATTTCTACAAGTCATGATTCTAATTTTGTAACTGCAGGATTAAGATAGGCACACTGCTACCTTAAAGACTTGTTTTATGTTAAACATGCATAATACAATGTGAAGAAAATGATCACTTAAAGGAAAATATTTCCCCAAATTAGAATTTGCATCTACAGTAATGAGAACCTGTTAAAATATCTCTTTGAAAAACCTTCTCAGCTGATGCAGAGCTGAGCATTTTGAGGCTCCTCGCTGCTCTGCCCTTTCTTGTTGTGTATGCATAGTGCAGATCTGCCAGCCATTACAGCAAACGGCAATGTCTGCTCTGTCAGAGCAGTGAACAACCGTATCACAAACCCCCTCAAGTGTCTGACTTCCACCCCCACAGTCCCCTCAGAAAAGGAAGACTGAGCTGAGAAGGAAAACATCTCCCTCCCCACAATCTGGAATCACATTACAGCAAGCTAGGGACCCAGTCATGGCAACTTGTATTAACTGCTGAACAGAGAAAGTTGATCAATTTACTTTCTTTTAAATTGGAGCATATATTTTTGCATTTCTTTGTGTGTGTGTGTGTGTGTGCATGGATAGCTTTATCAGGGAGGAAGGAGGCATTCAGATATATGGCATTTCATCAGATATAATTCAGGGCTGAGCAAAAACAGCTTTTAGCTACAGACTGAGCAGCCCCAGGGGAACTTCACAGAAATGACACAGCAATTTGTGTTAGAATATTGGCAGCTAATTCATGAATGCCGGAGCTGACTCTGAATACATCTGCTTCTGTTCATCTTTTATCCCCCCTGAGCTCATGATTCATAAAGAAAGTGCCTGGGGCTACTCTTCTGAAACATACAGTATGATGCTAACAGACTTCTCTTTGGTGTGTCTGCCTGGCTGTCACACACACACACACACACACACACACACACACACACACACCTCCTTCTCCCCACAAAAGATACATTAAAACATGGTCTTCCAAAACATAAACCTCAAGGAACAGTCATCACTAACAAATGAAAGGTATTTTCATTAAAGAACACTGATTTAAAAAAAAACGTTTCATATTTGCAAATCTTATTTGGTGTAACATACTGTAATTCAAGTTTTCCCTCTTGTGACATCATTACAGCATATATTTTACCCTAACCTCTAGAGGAACTCACCCCACTCTTTTCTCATAAAAGATGAAATACTGTTTTTATGATCAAACTGCACAGCTTTTGTTTCCATAAATATCTGGGACAGCTTCCCTTTCCTCCGGTTCCCACACATTTTCAATGCTGCTCAGCAAACACCCAACGGCACCCCCCTGGGAACAGTGCAGGGTGACTGACAGCCCTGCTTTCTTCCCTCTCTCCAGCTCTCTCCCACCACTCTGCTTGCTGTTGGACTGAACAACGGAGCCTTTGTGCATTCCCAGTGCAACTGGCCAGCTCTAACGAAGTGTCCCCTTATTGGTACAAGGGTAATATTTACCTTGGAGAAAAGTTTGTCTAAGTAACTATTCACAATTCTGCCAATATCATCCTTCTCAAATGTGGTGGCAAGAGTTCTCTCTTCTGTCTTGGCCTACAACCAAAGAGAAAGAGAGTTAGAAAAAAAAAGACAAATGAATAAAGACTATGAAAGATACTATTCCAGTTTACTGTAAAAACACTAGCAAACTTAGGCCAAAAGGCTGAGCTGTATTCTTTCCTGCAAAGTAAGAGAAAACAGAGTTGTGAATAAATCAAAAGTTTTTTCCAAAATAACAGCCAAGTCAGTTTCATCACATACACATTAATTATCTGCTTGTTCTATATGTTTCTTAGCTTTATGACAAAGAAATCTATGCTATTGTAGTAATATCAAAATTCAAACAACTGTTATCTGAATTCGAGGAAGAACTAGTGAGTTATTTGAAGAGAGTATGCTTCATGTGTTTTGGTAAGGCAAACTGTGATTTCATTGTGAAATGCCTTATTAAGAGTTGGGTGCAGCATAAGCTGTGTGACCTGAAGGACATGCAGATCTCTTAGTCCTGAGACTGAGTTGTCTTGAGTTGTTCCTTCATCCATTCCACTGAGGAAACGGGGAAGATGTGAGGGATAGGGGAGACTCAGGGTGTCTTCTTTTCATCTCCCTCCTGACTCATTGGTGCCCCTTGGGCCCATCTGTGGCCCTGCTCTGCTTTTGGTGCCTAGCCTATCCTCCATCCTCTTTCCTCTCCAGTTCTTGTCCTGTCTTCTAATAAAGATGTCTTGCACTGAACCTCTATTTTAGGTAAAACACCATGACAGGTGCTGTGTGAAAGGGGGAGGAGAATGGGGTAGAATGAATGAATGTGTTTATATTCTAAAAAGAACATCCTGGCTGTTTACTGAGATTCAGAACTTTTTAATTATTTTAAGAGACTGAGGTACGACTCCCGATTTGCAATATAAAACACTGAGCAGAACACAAGCCTTCTAGATGTGCATCTCTGATCTTTTACTAAGTCCACATATGGTCCTCTTAGACTGAGTGCTGCATTCTTCCAGAGTCAGAAGATTATTTGCATTATCTTGAGATACATCTGCTGTTTCTGTGACAGTTATCAAGTGAGAAATGCCTGCCTTTTCTTGGCCAATGCATTCAGCTACATTATTTTCTTTTTGTTTTTAATAAATCTAAAAATATCAGAACAAGACACAACTCTGGCTCTTTTCACTGTCAGTCATGCAGACTAAGAGTGCAGAGTCTTTACTGGGCAAAGAGCTTGACAGACACAAGCCCTCTTTCACTCATTCATTAGATTACACATAAACCCTCTTCTGAACCCCTGCCATGCAGAGATATTCAGAAGTGGATTCCAACTGCAAACACCTCTACTTCCCCATGTCATCACAGTCAATCCCAGAGATGCTCCTGAATTCATTAGAAATATAAGCAAGATTTGATTATCTAAATCAAACTGCTACAGTAGAAAAATAAAATAAACTTAGAAAAATGCCAAATCTTATTAGCATGCATTAGAAATAATGTTTGCTATTACTAGATAGGAGTAAAGAGAGTCTAACTTAAGAATTGAACACATGACATGACAGTTCATTTAATAAACCTAAAAGTGGTATATAATTTTATATTTTTGAAATTGCATATAATGAATTAAAAATATTCTAAGGAAACAAGGTAATGAACACATTGTGGTCCTGGCATATGACAGACATATAAATACATGGAATGGAATTTAGCCTCCAGATTAAGCCTATGTACTTATGGCCGATTGATTTTTAACAAAGATGCCAAGATTATACAATGTGGGAAAATAGTCTTTTCAACAAAAGGTTCTGGGACAAGGTTCTTCTGCTACATGCAGAGAAATGAATTTGGATCCTTAACTTCACTTTAAAAAGTTATGTAAAAATTTAACAAATTTGACATTTATTCATAAAGGTATATGTACCCCCATGTTCACTGCAGCATTATTCACGGTGTCCAAGACATGAAAGTAAATGAGTGTCCTTCAAAAGGTGATTGGATAAAACAGATGTGGTACACATATACAATGGGATACTACTCAGTCATAAGAAAACATGAAATACTGCCATATGTGACAACATGGAGAGATCTTGAGAAAATCATGCTAAGAAAAACAAGTCAATGGAAAAGTCAAGAATATATGATTTCACTCATATGTGAAATATAAAATTGAAAGCAGCAAGTGAACAAATAAGAAAAACAATCAAACCAAAACTCACAGACACCGACAACAGCATGGTGATTACCAAAGGGAAGGGGGGTGGGAGTGTAATGAAAGGTACAGGGGAGGGAAGAAGATCTGACTCTGGGTGGTGGGGACACAATACAATATACAGGTAACATATCATAGAAATGAACGCTCAAAACCTATGTAATTTTATTAACCAATGTCATCCCAATAAATTTAATTTTAAAAGGTTAGTACAAAGACCATATAAAATAGAGACCACATACTACAGAGACCATATTAAATGTTACTGAAAATGGATCAAATAAATTTAAGAGCTGAAACTAAAAAACTCTTAGAAGAAAACATATGGGTAAATTTCATGAGTTCAGATTTGGAATTTCAAATATGATATCAAAAGAAAAAATAGATATGTTGGACTTCATCAAAATTGAAAAGATGTGTACTTTAAAGGACATTGCTAAGAAAGTGAAAAGACAACCTAAAACAATGGGGAAAAAACACGAGCAAATCATTCCTGATAAAGGACTGTTATCTACAATATAGAAAGAATCCTTAATAATAAGACAATCCAATCAAAAATAGGTAAAGGATCTGAATATATATTTCTCCAAATATACAATGGCTAATAAGTACATGAAAAGATGCTCAGCATCATTAGTTATCAAGGAAATTCAGATCAAAATCTCAATGAAATCTACTTCATACCCCTCTAGGATGGCTATAATCGAAAAGTTTAAGACAGTACAATTGTTGACAAGGATGTGGAGAAATCAGAACACTCATACCCTGCTGATGCGAGTATGAAATAATACAACCACTTTGAAAACAGCCTCGTTGTTCCTCAAACAGTGCAATATAGGAGTTACCATTGGACCCAGTATTTGTACCCCTAGGTATATTCCAAGAAAAATAAAAACATGTCCACACAAAAACTTGTACAAGGATTTTATAGCAACATTATTCCTAACAGCTCCAAAGTAGAAATAATACAAATGTCTATCAGCTGGTGAATGGATTAAAAACATGTGGTATATCCATGTAAAACAATATCATTTGTCCACAAAATAGAATGAGGCATTCACATACATCATAACATGAACAAACCTTGAAAACACACCAAGTGAAAGAAGCTAGTCATGACCTACCCCCCCCACATATTATATGATTAAATTTACTTGAAATGTCCAAAATCGGCAAATATATAGAGACAGAAAGTAGATTAGTGGTTGTCTAGGACTGGGGAAGATGCAAATAATAGCAAAGGGGTGAGGGATTTCTTTTTAAGGTAATGAACATGTTCTAAAATCAACTGTGGTGATGGTTGTATTAACTCTGTGAACATACTAAAAAAACATTAAACTGTGCAATTTAAATGGGTGAATTGTGTGGTATGTAAATTACATCTCAATAAAACTGTTACCAGAAAAATATTCCATGGCATGTGAACATTTTAGTGTCAGTGATTTTGCAGATCACTCTTAAAGACAGATGGCAAATGCAAGTGTAATTTTAGCTGGAATCACTGGGGTCGCTGCAGGGACTCATGATTGCCTGCCTGGCTCCACTCCAAACTGTCGTGTATTGACAGAGACTACCTGGATATAATTCTGCATGGACCAAGTGCTCCTTCAGGTCCCCTTCCACCCACAACTATCCATCTTTAAGTGTGGGCAACAGCTAATCACTACAAACCAGTACTGATCCAATTAAATAGAAATCCTCTGCTTTCAATGTTGGTATCTTTCTCTACTGAATGAAATGTTTGGACTTCTGACACCAGATATCTATCTACTCAATGTGACTTCCCCCCACTGTATATACTAAGCCAGTGGGATGCCAAGCTCAACACTGTTGTTGTTTTTTTACACCTATTTTTCTGACTGTCAGTTTTCATGTGGACTGTTAGCAGGTTCTTAACATGGAAGATGACATTCATAAAGAGGCTCAAACAAGTGAACTCTGATAATTCCTGATGCATTTTGCCAACTAAACTGAAGGCTTGTTCTAGCTTAAGCCACTCAGAAGAACTGAAATAGAGTTCAATTTCTTAGTCACTGGGCCTCCAAGGGATGGGATTTGCACCTAACAGATGGCTTGGCCCAAGCTCCAGCTGGTGTTGTTGAGGAGAGGCCTCAGGAGAGAAGCACTGTTTCAAAGTTATGTTACAGTCCTTTCTGGGGAAGGAGGCATGATGTCCCTGCTCTCTGGGGAGATAAATACAAGGACTTGGTAGCACAGACTCCAAATTCACGTTTGACTTTTAAAAATCATCTTTTGAGGCAAGATATCCACTCAATACAAGACTAGAATCATGAAGCTCAATGAACAATTCCCAAATTTCAAAGAAACTTAAGGGTACCTATAAACTAACCCCACTTGATACTTGAACCCTCTCTACAATGTTTGTGGCATCCAGTTTACAATGGCGATGTCAAAAGGACTTTGTTCAAAATAAATTAACAGTACCAAGCACTGAATGAATCCCAGTGCCTAACACATGATAATCATTCAATATTTATTCACTGATGGAGTGAATGAATTAAAAAAAAATTAGAGTAGACTCAAGGATATTGCTGTAATGAAGCTGTTCTCACTTGCAGTCCCTGAAGACAGAGAGAAATAGAATTATATGTTGCTTATGATCAGTATATTACCACAGCAATATATCACACATGCAAATGTTGACCAAGCAAACACTTCCTTTTCTCCATGTTGCCAAAGAAACAAACCGGTAAACAAAACTGAGACCCTGAAGGGTTCCCAGAAGGAAATTCTGTTAGATTTGGGCTCATGTAAGGAAGGTTCTTCTGCACCCTTGTGGATTGGTGGCTTCAACCTAGTTTGAGTCCTGATTCTAACAACTTCCAGAGCCACATAGAACACGTCTGATAGTTTCCTTACACGGCAACCTTTCAAATACTTGAAGGCATTTGTTTTAAAAAGTCACCCTTCTCCTGTTCTTGAGCTTCTCTTTCTCCATTTCAAAGAATAAAGTCTTGACTTATCAGCTACCATAACTCAAATGAGTACAAATGATATAAGGAGAACAGAGCTGAGCCATGGCCAGGCCCACTCATAAGAGCATAGCAGGTAGAGAGTCTGCTCCAGCTACAAAACCTAACTCAGGGAATAAGCAAATACCCACTAGACAAGGTAACCTCAGACTGATGTAAGACGTAGTCCTTATTTTTTGAGTTTTGGTGATAGTAGTGGAGAATTTTCAAGGCCCATGTATAGAAGGGAGGCAAAGCTATCAGCCAGAAGCAATGGGCTGGTGAGGTCAGGACAGTGGTCATTACTAACCTTGGAGGTTTGGTCACAGCAACAGAATCTGGCCACTGGGCCAGACTCACTCTTGGCAAGACTAAAACAGATCATAGTAGTAAAGTAGATACCCAGCTCCAGACACTTAGACACACAGGAAGAGAAAGAGCTGAAACATGGAAGGTCAAGGAGTGAGTATTGTGGGAACCTGGAAGTTATTCCTGGGATATTAGACTCTGTAATTCTATGGCAATAAAGTCTATTGGATTGCAATGGTGGCCATCCCAGTGGTCAGCAAGATGACCACTGGGCGCAGAGAAAATATTAGTGACCTGTCCCAATGGCCTGGGGGAAGGTCTCAACAACTCAAGTACTTCCTGCTTCAGTGAGAATGAATTCAGACTTGGAGAGGGAAGATGATGCATGTGAGAGGAACACATGGGGGGCAAGAAAGGTAGGAGGAGACATGCTGAGGGCTGACACATCCACTTGGTGGTTGTTCTCTTTCAATGATTAAGCTCAAAGACATTTCTCCAGATGAAGCAGCTCTTTTCTCAGTGGACAGCTGATAGGATGCTTTCTTCAGTCCATATACTATGTTTATTTAGAAAGTCTGAGATCCCAGAAGCTTTTTCTACCACCTACATTACACTGTTGCCGTACATGAATCTTATACTTGACTAATGCAAATCTAAATTTCTTTCATATATGATGAAGCTCAGCCACTCCCCCCCCCCAACTTTTTTGTGTGTGTTTTCATTGGCAGTCATGGTGCTTACATAATCCCTGTGCCATTTGTGCCTCTTAGAGTTGGGTCATTGTGTTAAATGTCAAGATGTTTTTGAACTCTGTTTCTCTGACATGTTATTACACATCAGCCACCTCTTCCAGTTTTGGGTAGTGCATTTCCCCTAAGTGAGGTCTAATGTTGAATAGGACAGGGTTAGGTTCAACTATGAAAGTCTTCCTCCAGGAAGAGAGCAACTTATTAATCAATTCCCTCTGGATATGCTTACCAACCAGTTATTAATTCAGGTTGTTATACAAATCCCCTCTTTGTCCAAATAATAAATGTTAGCAACTTGATACTAAAAATCAAACATATATAAACTAATACATGTGATTTCTTATTAATCCATATGAATTGTATGGTTGGTTTAATAAATTGTCAATACAATAGAGATCAACCTCAGAGACATTTTCTTCCATTAAAATGTCAATATTAAGCCCTTCCGAGTAATTATGCAAGAAAATGATATTAAATATACTCAGCAGCACTGCAATTAAAGGGGCAGTAAGGCAATGTGTATGGGCTATGACATACCTTGCAATATGGGGAAACATTACTCAACATCTCCTTACCCCTCCTCCTGGTGTTCTTATTTCACTCAGGCTGCACTTCTCTCCCTACTAAGCTCCCTCATAGGTAGTTTCTGGTGTTTTTTTCTGGTTGGTTCTCCCAGCTGCTGTTCTTCACACATCCATCTTTCCCAGTATTCCCTCTGTTAACAGTTCTTCCTGTCTCTGATGACTCCTGCTTCATTTCACACACTCTGATAGCTACAACTTCCAGTGTATGCAAAATAAGAGTCCATTAAGAAAATAGTGTCTTCTGGGTTTAATGTCCTTATTTTGAACAGAAAAAAATGGAAGAGGCAAGAAAGGATAGTCCTGAGATGCCAAAGAGAGACCACTATGAAGATAAAATGAAGGCAAAAAATTTAAGCATCAAAAATTATGACACTGGGGAAATAATTCCCCTGAAATTATTTTCAATCGTATAGTGAATGAACAGCATCCCCTTTCCAAGAAGAATGTATTTTTCTCAAGAGTAAAGAGCAAGAAACACAGGAGCAGCTTCCTTGCTGGGGGAACTACATTTTTTTTTGTCTGCCCTCAACAGGTGTTGCCATGGTAACCATCCTGCAGTTGAGAAGCAGTAGAAGTAAGAAAATCTATACAAAAGACCACAGTGGGGGAAATAAGAAAGATGTGCAAAACTAACCTCAGGCCTAAGAAAATGAACAACCTGAGATTGGCTGGCTATTCGCCAGGTGTTGATGTTCAAATAATATGCTGCAGGGCACAGGAGCATGGTCCTTGAGGAGCCAGGCAACTCCCAGTGGGGTCTCAATTTATCTTAGGTGATAACTTATATCCCCGTTCCCTTGTGTATAGTTTAACTTTTTGATGACTTTGGGGAGAGACTGGCTGTTGTCTACTGTTATGTCTGGCAACTTCTAGAAAATGAAGGTATATTACTGAATGACTTCACTACTTTACTTCTACCTCCAGCAGGTAGTAAATTTAGTCACAATTTCTCTGCTTTCTTCCTTCAAATGCAGAAGTTAGGCTTTGCGTCTTTGCATGCTATGAATTAGTAAAACGGTTAATTAATAGCTCTTTCTTCCTGTGAACAAATACAGCCAAAATTTGTAGCCCCAGTACTTCAGAGAAGTACTGTAGAAAGAACTTCAGAGCCTGGCTAGGATCGGAACCCCATGTCTATGGTCCTTCCTCCATTGCTCATAGCTTATCATAATATCCTATGTATTTAGCATCCAAATATGTTAGCACCATGAATGACAACATAATAATGATCATTTCTGAAATTAAATTCTGTACTCTTATATTATAAGCTACTTGTTGGTGCCCCCTCTCACCAAAGAGCACACTCCATCCCTTTATTTATGCCACATTTCATTGTTGTTCAAAGGACCACTATAGTGCTTGCTTTGGCAGGACATATACTAAAACTGGAATGATACAGAAAAGATTAGCCTGGCCCCTGTACAAGGATGACCCTTAAAACTGTGAAATGTTCCATGTTTTTAACTTCATCAGCATGAAAAAGGACATAGAAGCTATGAATAAGAACCAGGTGGAAATGAAGAATGCAATACCTGAAATAAAGAAAACACTAAAAGGAATTAAAAGCAGGCTAGATGAAGCAGATGATTGAATCAGAAAGTTGGAGGACAAGCAGAAAAAACACCCAGCTAAAACAACAAAAATGAAAAAAGATTCAAAAAGAACAAAGATAGTTTAAGAGAGCTACAGGACAAATGAAATGTAACAATAGTCACATCATAGGGATACCAGAAGTAAAAGAAAAGGAGCAAGGGACAGAAAACCTGTTTGAAAAAATGACAGAAAACTTTCCCAACTCCGCGAAGGAAAAAAACATACAAGTTCAGGAAGCACAGAGAGTCCCAATTAAGATAAACACAAAGAGGCCTACTCCGAGACACATCACAATTAAAATGACAAAACTTAAAGACAAAAAGAAAATTATGAAGGCAGCAAAGGGAGAAACAGCTAGTAACATACAAGGGAGCTCTGATAAGGCTATTAGAGGATTTCTCAACAGAAACATTACAAGCCAGAAAGGACTAGCATGAAATATTCCAAGTAATGAAAAACAAAGACCTGCAACCAAGACTACTCTATCCATCAAGGCACTCTTTTAAAATGGAAGGCAAAATAAGGAGCTTTCCTGACACACACAATAAAGCTAAAAGAATACATCTCCACCAAACCAGCAATGAAAGAGATGCTAAAGAGACTGCTTTAAGAATATATATACATATTCTTATATACATATAAATGTATATTTAAGAATATATATTCATATATAAATATATGGCTATATATAGGCATATATATATCTATACATACATAGAAATATGCACACACATACATATATGGAGAGAGGGAGGAACGCAGGTAAAAAGAAAAATGGCAATGAATAAGTATATATCAATAACAACCTTAAATGTAAATGGATTAAATGCTCCGACCAAAAGACATAAGGTAGCTGAATAAATTAGAAAACATGATCCACATATATGCTGTCTACAAAAGACACCTCCCCGCCCAAATATAGAATCTACACAGGCTGAAAGTGAAAGGATGGACAAAATATTCCAAGCAAATGGACATAAAAAATATCTAGGGTAGTAATATTTATATCAGACAAAATAAACTTTAAAACAATGGCCATAACAAGAGACCAAGAAAGTCATTATATAATACTAAGAAAGCAGTCCAAAAAGAGGATATAACCCAGGTAAACATATATGTGCCCAACACAGGGGCACCTAAAATACATGGAAAATCTTATACTTTAAGAAAGAGATCAACAGCAATACAGTCATCTTAGGGGATTTTTAACACTCCACTGGCAACAATGGATAGATCTTCCAAACAAAGAATCAATAAGAATATTGTGGCATCAAATGATACTCTAGATCAAATGGACTTAATTGGTTTTTTAAATTTTTTAAAATATATTTTATTAATTATGCCATTACAATTGTTCTATTTCCCCCTTCATTCCCCTCCATCCTGCACACTCCCTCCCTCACCATTCCCCCCTTTAGTTTTGACCATGTGTCTCAAGTTCTTTAGATTCTATATTTCCCCTTCTATTCTTGCCCTCCCCTATTTATTTTCTACCTACCGTCTATGCTACTTATTTTCTGTACCTTCTCCCCCCTTCTCCTTCTCCCACTCCCCTGTTGCTAACCCTCCTTGAGATCTTCATTTCTATGTTTCCACTCCTGATCTAGCTGTCCTCTTAGTTTGCTTTTGTTTTAGGTGTGGTTGTTAATAACTGTGAGTTTGCTGTCCTTTCACTGTTATATGGACTTAATTGTTATTTACAGAACATTTCACCACGAAGAAGCAAAACATACATTGTTTTAAAATACACATGTATTATTTTCAATGATAGACCACATGGTAGGACACTAAACAAGCCTTAACAAATTTAAGAAAATTGAAATCATATCAAGCATCTTCTTGGATCACAATGGCTTGAAACTAGAAACCAACCCCAAGGAAAAAACTCAAAAGCATTCAAATAATTGGAGACTGAATAATGAATGGGTTAACAATGAGATCAAGAAAGAAATAAAAAGTATCTGGATACAAATGAAAATGAGCCCACAACAACCCAAAACCTGTGGGGCACAGAGAAGGTAGTCCTGAGAGGGAAGTTCATAGCAATATAGGCCTATCTAAAGATTGAAAAATCTCAAAAAAAAAAAAAAAAACCCAATCCAAATACCCTAACCCTCCCTGTAAAAGAACTAGAGGAACAACAATAAACAAAGCCCAAAGTGAGTAGAAGGAAGGAAGTAATATCAGACCAGAATTAAATGACAATAGACAACCAAATTGAAAAGAGGAAAATAAAACTGTGATTATTTTCAGACAACATGGCGTACATAGAAAACACAATAGTCTCCACCAAAAACTTACTTGACCTAATAACTGAATTTGCTGAAGTACTAGGATACAAAGTCAATTCAGAAATTAATGGCATTTTTGTACACTAACAATGAACTATCAGAAAGAGAAACTAAGAAAAAATACCATTTACTACAGCGAAAAGAAAAATAAAGTACACAGGAATAAATTTAAACAAAGAAGTAAAAGACCTGTACTCAGAAAACTACAAAACACTGAAGAAAGAAATTGAGGAAGATACAAATAAATGAAAGCATATACCATGTTCATAGATTAGAATAATTAACATCATTAAAATGTCCATACTACCCAAAGCGGTCTATAGATTCAGCACAATTCCTGTCAAAATACCAATGACATGTTTTACAGATGTAGAACAAATATTTCAAAAATTTATATGGAACCAAAAGTACCTCTAAAAGTCTCAGCAATCCAGAAAAAAAAAAGAAAATTGGAGGGATCACAATACCTGATATCAAACTAAACTACAAGGACAGTGTAATCAAAACAGTCTGGTACTGGCACAAGAACAGACACATAGATCAATGGAGCAGAATAGAGAGTCCAGAAATAAATCTGTGTCTCTTTGGTCAATTAATACTTGACAAATGGGGCATGAGTATTCACTGGAATAAAAATAATCTCTTCAATTATAAATGGTGGTAGGATAACTGGACAAATACATGCTAAAAAAAAAAAGAAACTAGACAACCAACTCACACCATACCCCTGAATAAACTCAAAATATATAAAAGACTTAAATATAAGTTGTGATACCATAAAAGTCCTAGTTGAAAACATAGGCAGTAAAATTTCAATATGCCATGTGACAATATTTTTGCCAATATATCTCCTAGGACAAGGGACATAAAGAAAAGGATAAACAAATGATATTACATCAAATTTAAAAGCTTTTGCATGAGTAAAGAAACCATCAGCAAAATGAAAAGGGAACCGACTTATGGGAGAACATATTTACCAAAGATACGTTGGACAAAGTTTTAATTTTCAAAATATATAAAGATCTCATATGACTCAACACCAGGAAAGCAAAAAATCCCATATAAAAATGGGAAAAGGATCTGAACAGACACTTCTCCAAGGAGAACATAGAGATGCCCCATGGACATGAAAAGACACTCACTATCACTAGCCATCAGAGAAATGCAAATTACAACCATGATGAGATATTACCTCATACCTGCCAGAATGGCTGTCATTAATAAATCAACAAACAACAAGTGCTGGTGAGGATATGAAGAAAAGGGAACCTTAGTACACTGTTGGTGGGAATGCAGACTGGTGCAGGCACTGTGGAGAGCAGCATGGAATTTCCTCGAAAAATTAAAAATGAACCTGCCTTATGATCCAGCAATTCCACTGCTGGGAATATGCCCTAAAAATCCTAAAACACCAATTCCAAAGAACTTATGCACCCCTATGTTCAATGCAGCATTATTTACAATGGCCAAGTGTTGGAAACAGACTAAGTGCCCTTCAGTAGACGAGTGGATCAAAAAATTGTGTACATTTATATAATGAAATACTAAGTAGCAGAAAAAAAAAAGAAGGAGCGCCTACCTTTTCCTACAGCACGGATAGTCCTGGGGACTGCTATGCTAAGCGAAATAAGCCAGTCAGTGAAAGATAAACAACATATGATTTTACTTGTAACTGGAATCTAATGAACAAAATAAACTAATGAGAAAAACAGAACCAGAGACATGGAGACATTGAATAGACTGACAACTGTGAGAGGGGACTTGTTTGGGGGTGTGGGGATAGTAGAAGGAAGGGGAAGGGATTAGTCAAAGAACATGTATAAATGACCAGTGGGCATGGACAATGGAGTGGGGATTGACTGAGGAAGTGAAGGGTGGGCTGAGTGGGGGGGGGTCAAAGGGGAGAAAATTGGGGCAACTGCAAAAGAATAAACAATAAAAGAACAAGCAATAAAAAAAGACCATTCTACTCAGTAAATAATATGAATTAACATATTTCACTAACTTCTGTGACTCTTCAAAGTTAGGATGTCTGACAAAACAACGTTTTGAAGAATAAAGTTGACAAGGTTTAGCCTGAGAGAAGTCCATGTTGTAACAGGGATATCCTGCTGAGGCCAAGCAGTCATCAGTGTTGTACAAATGACACCTGAGCAGTCAACAGACATGTCTTTGAGACCTGAGTCCCCATCCTTTGCCATTTTGGGGCCTCAGTGTCTCATTCTTTTTTTTTTTTTTTAAATATATTTTATTATGTATTTATCTTTTAGAGGGGAAGAGGGGGAAGGAGAGAGGGAGAGAAACATCAATGTATGGTTGCCTTTTGTGCATCCCCTGCTGGGAACTGGCCTGCAGGGAACCGGCCTGCAACCCAGGCATGTGCCCTGACTGGGAATCGAACCGCGATCGTGTGGTTCGCAGGCCCGCGCTCAATCCACTGAGCTACACCAGCCAGGGCTTGTCTCATTCTTTAAAGATCAGGAGTCACTGGCTCCTTCAAAGGGTTGATGTCAGGCTGAAATGAGATAATGCGTATGACTGCATTCTGTTTACAAATAGTATAACACTAGGCAAATAA